AAATGATCAGGACTCCAGTGTCCAAAATCCTAAAACTCTCTATTCCCAGGGGGGTCTAGAGAGTTAAGAGCTGTAACTACTTACTTGGTGACAGTAATCAGAGAATACACTTATCCTCTTTGTCAGGGGCTTTCATTTCTTAAGATCTTCTCCTCTGAGCCCAGCAGGCTGGGGCATTTCAGTCCCTTTTTATAGGAGACAAAGGGCACAGAGACAGAAAGAGGGGGGCCCACTTGCAGCCTGGAGCTTTCTTAGCCGCTGCCACACCAACTCACCACTGCTTTCATCATGCAAGCTCCGTGTCTCACCCTACTCCCCGTTACAATGCACTACCCAATTGCTAGTTAAATAAAAGCAGCTTTTTCTTTACATTTTCAAAACAGGGCCAGTACTTACTTTTTGATAGTGTTTGGAGTCTCCACCCTGACTCTGCCCTAACTTGCTGTGTGACCTGGGGAAAGTTGTTTGCCCATGCTAAGGCTCAGCAGGGGGGCTTCCTACTCCTGGGATTATAGGAGATGTTATTGGAGACTAAGTTGGGCCCAGACAACTCATCTCTGATGGAGGCAACAAGAGTTGAGAGAGGCCCCAGCACCACGCCTTTGCTCCTGGTCCTTACATGGACAACCAGTGCCACAGATCCTGCCAGCCAAGGCTCTAGCTGATTCCCAGAGCCTGTCCCAGGTTAGACCAAGTCTCTCTTTCTCTCTCTCTGTCCCAGGTCACTCACTCATCCAACAAAACTTATTGGGCAGCTACTAAGAGCCAGGGAGGTGGAGGGAGACAGAGACATGCACACATTGGTCCTAATACAAGGCCGGCTGTGACTGTCCTGTGGGCGCTGCACATAAGGGAAGGGAAGTCCGGCTCTGGGTGGGCTCCAGCCGGAGGAGGTCGCCTTTGGGTGGGGCGAAAAGCCTGGGGGAAACTTTGGAAAGTGAGCAGGGGCAGGCGTCCCAGTTAGAGGGCACAGCTTGAGCAAAGACCTGAGGCAGGTGATTTCAGGGTGCCTCCGCGGGCTAGCAGAGTATCTGGTGAGGCTGGGGGATGCAAATGTGAGAGACACAATTGGAGGGTAGGTTGGGCCAGACCTGCAGGGCTTCGAATGCCAGGCTGGAGAGCTGGGACGTAGCCCTGGCGGGGCTTTAGCAGGGAAGGGGAGAGCACAGACCATTCCTCAGAAGGCTCCCTTCAGCCCCATGGCGCCTCTCACCTCCACACCAGCCCTGGGACGTCTGGGATGTGATTCCTCCTTTTATAGAAACAGATACTGAAGCATCAACAAGGTGAAGTAAAGTGCCCACTGCCCACAGAGCTCAAGTGGCAGAGTTGGGGCTAAGACCTTAGGCCAGGGGCAGGAAGGATGCACTGTGGGGGCACAGCTGAAGACGAGATGACCAGGTCAGTGTTTCCGTCTGTAAAATGGAAATATTAGAAGTCCCCTGCTCTTTGCTCCCCACCCTCGGCCACCCAGATCCTCCCTCAGGCAGGCCGCTCTGCACCTTCCCTCTCAAAGGGCCTGAAAGGATATGCCTGCCCCTTGACGTTTGCCCCCAGTCCCCTTTGCTAACACCCTTACCTCACTGCACCCCACCTCGGGGGAGTCTGGCCCCACCCTCCCTGCGCTCCCTCATGCCAGACGCTGCTCATCTGCCATTAGTCACCAGTTGGTAGGAAAGCTGAGGCCTTCGAAGGCCCTTCATATTCCCACCCACTACTTTCACTGCCTTCCCTCTCCTCCCAGCTCAGCCATCCAGGGCCATCTGTGAACTGGGGGTCCCTTATCCTTGGGGAACCACAGAGCCCAGCCAGGGCTTGGGAGCAAGTCATACTATGTTACCTCGGGCTGTTCTCCAACCTCTCTGAACCTTAATCTCTTTCCTTTCTTTCCTTCTTTACATTTTTCCTCCCACTGTCTCTGATTCATCCTCCCCCTCTCATGCCATAGACATTTATTGAACGTCTACCGTACACCAGATACCATGTGTAGGAAGCATGGGGCCCTGCCCTTGCAGCCTCGCTCGCCAAGGGCCGTGGGGTCAGACAGGATTCTGAGTTGGTGGGGGTGGGGGGTGGGGTGGGAATAAGACTGACCTCTGAACCACGGGAGGGCAGCACAGGCTTTTGAACCAACCCCACCTGAGCAAGTCACTTTACCTCTTGGAGCCCGCTTCCTCATTTACCAAATAACAAAAATCATATTGTAAGATTTAAATGGGACATCTGGCTGGCAGTGCGTTACTCAAAGGCTCTAAAAATTCACCTTTATCTCTACCTTGAAGGCTGGAAATCCTTCTGGAAGTGAAGGACTGACCTCTCTGGTGGTGGGATTTAGGGATCAGTGACCCCGGGTACTTGGGAGGCAGGGAGTTCTTGTGAGTGCACACCACTCCCAATATTCTACACTGTCTGAAACCTGTTTTACCTACATGTAAGAATCTCCCTTTTGTGGGAGAAGTGGAGTCCTCACTCTTGATGATATCATCATAAAAAAAGTTTTAGGTGACATTTATTGAGCACTTAGTATGTGTCTGGTACTGAAGAGACATTATTTCTAATCCCCAGAGGTGTGATTCTTATTATACTTTATAGAGAGGGGAAACTAATGGCTCAGAGATGCCTAGCAGCTTGCCTAGAATTACACAGCCAAGAGTGACCTCAGATGCTCCCTGCCCTAACCATTGTGCAGCAGTTGCTTGCCCTGCCCAGGGTGATGAAGACTTTCACTCTTTGGGGACTTGATTCCATGACCTCCCTCTCTGGCCTCAGTACCCTGGTCAGGAAAATGGACTTTTAATCCTTACTTGCCCAATGAGGTTAAGGCAAGGCAGGGTTTCCCAACCCCTCTGAACAGATGGGAAAACTGAAGCCCAGAGTGGGCCAAGACCCCCTCATCACCTGGCCTGGAATCCAGGCCTTTGGACTCAGCCTGCGCTCTGGCCGACCACTGACCCTGTCCTGGGATTGCCTAAGGCACTGTACTCCTCGAGTGGCCACAGTTCTATGGGAAGGGGAAAGAGGAAGGGGAGGTAGCTCTCTGGGTCATGCCAAGCCCCCATGCCAGGCACTGGGAACAACCTGGGTCTCCCAAAAAGATGTGAATGGATTCCTGTCCTCCAGGGAGCTCCCAGTCAGGGATTACAAAGGAAACGAGTACCGAGTAGAGAAGAACATGCCATTTTCAAATGGGAAAGAATGGACAAAGACAAAATCCATTCTTTCACTTGAGGCAGGGCCGACACTTGTGGAAACATAGAGGCTGCAGCCTGCCTTTGCAAAGCCTGACTGTCCCTATGCTTCCTGTTTCTCTTTGAGGCTCCTGTCTCTTAGGGCCAGGTCCTGGGAGAGCTGGCATTTTTGCGGAACCCCAGTTATCAAGCACTCATTATGTACTAGGTGCCTGGCCTCAGGCATTTTGGTTGAGTCTTACTCTAGGCTTGTGTGGGAGAGATTCTTGTCCCCATTTTCCAGAGGGGTAAACTGAGGCCTGGAGATCCAATTTACCTGCCCACGGCCACACAGCTGGTCAGGGTCAGAGTGGGAACTTAAACCCTAGCTTCTTGACTGACGTTCACTCACCCTGTTTCTTCCTTTGAGCTCTTGCCAGCTGCAGGAAGCAGTTTCTGCAACAATATCTGTAAAATGGGCAGCTACAAGGTTCACCTGTATTACAGGCCAGCAGGACCCAATACTATGTCATGAGTTTTTCACTAAGATCCCAGGCAAGGCTCATTTAACTCAGGGACAAACATTCACAAAAGCAGGATGGGTGGATTCCCTGCGCTGTGTCACACATGAATGGAAATTGGGGCTAGTTTGTAGCCTAAATCCATCAACCGATATGGAACTTGTTTCAGGAAAAGGACAGGGAGGCCAATGGCCCCTGTGTCTCTCTTGAGACCCTCCCTGCTCAGGTCTCATGGTGGGTTAGAAGCATAGGAGGCTGGGGTTAGGGGGAGGCTCAGAGGAACCAGAATGGGCAGTGGGTCCCCCAGGGTGCTGGGTATGAGGGGCAGAGTCTGAGTCCCCGGAATGTCTGCTTTGTTCCCTTCTGGCACGCAGTGGGCCTGCAAGGAAGACCAGTGAAGGGAAGGGTAAGTGAGAGGTGGGTGGGTGGGTTAGTAAGTAGATGGATGGATGGTTGGATGGATGGAGGGATGGATAAAATAGGCAGATTATCAGGATTTTGCTACAGGAAGGGGCCTTGGGGTGTCTGGGTCCCTGGGTATGTCTGCATGTCTGTTCATGAGTCCCTGTCTGTACGTGTGTTCATTTCAGAGTATCAGCATTTTTGTGTGCTTGTGGGCACCCCAGTCTGGTCTTGTGTCCACGTCTGAGGATGTGCTGATGCCTATGAGGTCTGTCTGTATATGTCTGTGAGCTGGGTGCATCTGGACACCTGCTAATCTGTGTGTGGCTCTCTGGGTGGGTACCTGTCTGTATGTGCCTGGCTGTATCTATGTCTTGGCATGTCTCTGTGATTTTTTTTTTGGTATCATTAATGTACAATTACATGAGCAACATTACGGTTACTAGACTCCCCCCATTATCAAGTCCCCACCACATACCCCATTACAGTCACTGTCCATCATCTCTGTGATTTTAATCTGATTTTGTGACCATGTAAGTCAGTGTGTCTGTGTGACCAGCTTGTCCACTGCCACTGCATCTGTCAGAGTGTCTGTGTCTCTCTGTGTCCTCATCCCTATGCCTCTGATTGTGTGTGTGTGTCTACTCCATGTGTATTTAAATCTGAGTGTGTGTGTCCAGGTATGCAGTGTGTCCTGTGAAACTATGTGTCTGCATCTGCGTGTGTGTTTCCATGTCCAGGTGTCTCTGTTACTCAAGGTCTGATTCTGTGTACCCAGGTGTGTCTGTGTGTCCTGGTCTGTGTCCCTGCCCGTCCTGTCCCAGCCCTGCGTTCCGTCAGCTCCCCCAGAGGGCGCCCTTGCCTGACTGTGCTCCCCACCTCGGGTTTCTGCACCCTAGCCTGCGGAGGAGAGAGTGGGCCCCTCACTGGGCCGTGAGAGCTTCGCCAGGCCCCCGCCTTCCCGCACGCCCCGCCCCCGGCCCGCCCAAAGCGGGCTATAAATTCCCAGAGCTCCCAGTCCCCACCGTGCCTGCTGCCAGTGGTCCGCCCCTGGAGGGTCCTGCCACCAGTCGGAGGAGCCACCGCCACCACCTGCCCATGGCTGAGGGTGAGTATCGGGGTCAGCACCGCAGGCAACTCAGGGACCGGGGCTGACTAGGTCTCCCTGGTCTCCCTGGTCCCTCCTGGGCAATGGGGAGTCAGGAGCAGGCTGGGGCTAAATCCCTGCATCCCCTGGGATTTGGAGAGCAACCAGAAGGTTAGACTGGGTGGAAGGTGCCTAGCTCCCAGTCCTGGAGCTGCTTGGGGCTTCAGTTTCCCCATCCCCAGGGCGTAATCATTAACCCCTGCCTCCCTGGATCAGATGGAGCAATGGAACTTGAAGGCGAGTTGTAAACTTTAAAGTACTATGCTAGTGACCCGTTGTCAGTGGGGGCTGGGTCCCTGCTACGGGTGGCACAAAGCTGTGTAGAACGTGCTGGCCTGGCCTCAGAACGCTTAGCTTTGGTTAGCCCCTGCCAGCTGGGTGGAGGTATGCATGCTATCCCTAGTGGTGTATGAGCCACGTCTGGCTGACTCCTTGGACCCAGGAGACCAGAGACGAGGATCCAGCATCCGATGGGGGACTGAGTGCAGGCATATTCTCTGAGGTTCCCCTCAGCCCTCAAGTTCTGCAACTCTAATCCTTGGCCATTTGTTGAGTCTCAGTTTCCCCTCCTGTAAACATGGACAGTGATGCCAGCCCTTGGTACATCTGGGTTGGCTGAGAGGACTGGAGAAAGGCTCAATCAATTTCCGATATTGTCCCCCCAGCCCTCCCTCACATGGTGGCATTGCTACTGTCCCAGGGGAGGGTGTTCCACAGTGGATGATGTCTCTGCTGTAATGCTGCTAGACCCTTGTCCTGGCTGACTCTTTGGTGAACTCCATTTGGAGATGGCCTCTGCACTGCTGCACCCCCCAGGATGGAGGTGTGGGGAGAGAGAATGTGGAGAGAGACACGGGGAAGGTTGAGCAGGTATGACAGGGAGGAACCATGGACCTGCCTGACTTGCTGTGTGATCTTAAGCCATCTTTGTCCCTCTCTGAGACCCAGTTCCTCAATACATAGGATCAAAACCAGCTCAGGGCTGGCTGTGATGTGTCACCTAGGTGGCCACTTGTCCCCAGTGCAGTTTCCCACACCATCCCCAAGAGTGGGGTTCAGTGGAACTGGGGGACCCTAGAGATGCCACTTATGATGAGTCCCCTGCCTCACTGCCACAGTGGCCACTTCCTACTTGGATCCCATTGGCCTGAAACACTTTGGGTCCTTTATAAATGCAGAAAAATGATGATTCTAGACCCCAGTGTTTCTATACCTTTGGAGCTGGGCATGATTTCTGGAAATCCTTCTTCAGACAATAGCCCGAGAAAGCACCCCACCTACCCCAGGCTAGGAACAGACCATCTCTCTAAGGTTCCCAGGGAACAGTGGTGGTCTCTTTCCTGCTTGAACTCTTTGGAGTGCAAGTTTACAAAAACAGTATTTCCTCACCCTAGTAGGCCAGCAGGAAGTTCTTCCTTATGGCAGTGGGGATCTCTCCTGCCGTGATTGTAGGGGGTCACTTCCCCATGTCTCCTCCTAGGTTCAAGAAAAACAAGGACATGGGGGAAGGGGTTGGTGGGGGGAACAAACCTCGAGCTGCGAGTGGGGTGGCTACTAATGCAGGCTCTAGAATCTACAGGCCTGGGTTTGAATTCTGAAGCCACTTGCCATGGGACCCGGGCCACGTAATGTCTCCCTCTGCAATGTGCAGATGGTGATGGTCCCTGTGTGAGTGGAGTTGGGAGGCATAAACTGAGCTAATCCATGTAGAAGCCCTCAGCGTTGCTGGCCACTTTGCACCTCACTTTTAGGATATTCCATAGCAGGAGGCAGAAGACCTGGGTCGATGTCCCAGTGGAAGGACAGACTTACTGGGTGATTTGGGGCAAATAAATCCCCATCCCTGTGCCTCACTTGGACCATATACTCTTCAAGGGCCCCACAACTCTGTGAGTCTGCTGTCCCCACTTCCCTCATGCTACAGTTTTCTTAATCTTGACCTTGAGCTTGCCAAGGTTTATGAGGTTTGTGCTTCCCTCAGACCCCCACCTACCTGTTTCCCCTACCTCTGCCCTGGTCTTCAGCTCTCTCTGAACTATAAATGGAGCTTTCATGTATCAAAATCCTGCCCTGGGCTAGGTCCTGGAGAAAGGATGTCCCAACATTCTGTCTTAGTCCCCACAGCAGCCGTCAGAGGCTTCAGGCAAGGAGGCACAGAGAGGGAGAGACACCTGTCCAGGATCACACAGTGGCAAAACAAAACTGAGGCTTAGGTCCAGAAGACTCCAAATCCCCTATCATTTTAAAAAGCTTTTATTATGCAGAATATTGAACATACATAAAAGCAGAGAGAACTGTATAATAAATGCCTATATTCTATCTATACCCAGTCCCAACCACTACTCTCGCCTCCTACATCCCTCATCTCACACCCCTATTATTTAGAAATAAATCCCAGACATCATGTCATTTCACCTGTAAATACTCCTCTCTCTGAATGAACATGTATCTAAAAGATAGGGCCTCCCTTTTTTAGACATGAACAAATTAACAAAAATTCCTTAGTATCACCATTATTCCCGCAGGGTGCAAATTTGTCTCCTAATGTAACAAACGTTTTAAGACAGGTTTTTAAAAAAATCAAGATCCAAATGGGGCCCCCAGAGCACAATGAGTCGGAATGCCTCAACTTTCTCTTATTCTCTAGATTCTCCCTCCAACTTTTTTTTTCTTCATTTTTCTTTCTCATAATTTATTTGTTAAAGAAACCAGATCCCTTGCCTCTAGTTCCCCAGGGTGTGAACTCTGTTGACTGCATCCTGGTTCTTTGTTTCACACATTTCTCTGTATTTCCTAAAATTGAAAATTGAACCTGAAAGGCAAGGCCTGTGTAATTAACCTCTACCCAATGCTGCCCCTGTTTTTTGTTTTGTTTTTTACTGAAAGACCCCCACCAAGCACACTAGGACAGCTCATGTGTAGGAAGCATGTATGGGGTGCCAGGCGGTGTGCTAAGTGGCTCACAGCAGCCCTGCGAGGTGGATGCCGCTGCCCCCACTGGTGGACAGGTGGGAGAGTGAGGCCCAGAAAAGTCAATTTGCCTGAAGTCACACAGCTGGAAGGTGGCAGAGCCCTCTCTCAGCTTGCCGTGGTGGGCATAACCTTGTGATTAGTGGTGGGGAAGATTCTGCCCCCGCTAGCCCCTGGGTGACGGGGTAGGGCAGGGGGTTTGGGAAGGGGAGGACCTGGTAGCTTTAGCTAGAGAGGGCTGGCCCCCCTATGTCCAGGGGGCTGAGGGAGACCACCATGGCTCATGTCCCGCCTGCTCTCTCCACAGATCTGGTTCTAGAGAGATGCGACCTGGAGCTGGACGCCAATGGCCGAGACCACCACACAGCCGACCTGTGCCGGGAGAGGCTGGTGGTGCGGAGGGGCCAGCCCTTCCGGCTGACACTGCACTTTGAGGGCCGAAACTACGAGGCCAGTGTGGACAGCCTCACCTTCAGTGTGGTGACTGGTGAGTAGCCCCACCAGAACCCCCACCCTGACCTGTCCTACTCTGGGATGTCATTGCCCCTAACAGAGAGTGGGACAGGTGACTCCAATTCCTCTTTGCCCCCTGAGAAATTCCCAGCAATCACTAGCTCCACTTTACAGATGAAGGCACTGAGGCCCAGAGAGTGGAGGCATGTCACCCCAGGTCTTGTACACAAGTCTGTCTCTGGATACCTGGCTTCCTGGAACCTGTTATTACCAGGGTTGAAGGTTGTCTTCCTACCACACAGTCCATCAAGATTCTGCCCACTCTTTCCCACATCAAAAACTTTCCAACTCTTATCAACAGTCACTTCCCCAAATCCGCACAACCTCAGCAGGCCTCTGGGATCAGGCCGAAATCTGGCTGGGTGGCAGAGAGAACCCAGCTGACTCCAACCCTCTGAGATGGCAGTTTTGTGTTCTAGTAGCTCCTTCCGCAAGCCTGGGGAGGCTGCCTCAGGCAAGGTGGCTGGACAGACAGACCTAGTTCTGGTGTGGACTGGATTGCCTAAGCGCTGTGTGGCCTTGGGCAAGTTTCTTAGCCTCTCTGAACCCAAGTTTTATCCTGGGAAAAGTACTCCTGGTGGATGGTTGCTAAGTGAGAAGGGCCCGACATGGGGAAGTGCCTTGTAGATATCAGCGGCTGCTGTTCCAGGGGCTCTGCCGATGGGTGAAGGGGCATTGAGGTCCTAGCCACCCCATCCCTAGATGCCCAGTGCCCAATCTACTTTGCCACTGCTGGGCAAGCAGCCTTGAATGCCAAATCACTGGCTTTGGCTTCTGGTAGGAATACTCCCTCCAGGTCAGTGAAGGGCCTCCTGGCTGGGCCTCTGGCCCAGGGGTGGGAAAGGCCAGCTTTTTATGAGATCTCAGAGGGCACAGAGAGCAGCAAGAGAGCTGAGGCCCTATTTACCTGGGAGACCGTTAGATAAGGCTTATCAAGTGCCTGCAGACTGGCTATGGATATCCCCTCATCCCTTTCTCCTGTCCCCTCCCCTTCTGGCAGGGACACACCCACTACCCAGGGCTGCTCCCCACACCTCCCCGTAAACACACAACCACCACCACACTTAGGGCCTAACAGACCTGAGGGGCCTCCAGCAAATCTCTGATCTTTCCAGTCTCAGTTTTCTCCTTCTCTAAAATGGAAGGTTGGAGTATATGGCAGTTAAGGACTGGCTATGGTGCCCTGAGAAGAGTCAGGCTTGGGGTGATGAAAATCACAACATCTGTGGAGCACCTACTGTACGCATGCTCATCCCAAGTCCTCCAATCTTGGAAACATAACGAGCTGCAATTTTACAGATGGAAACACTGAGGCTCAAAGAGGTCTGGCTACTGTCCCAGGGCACACAGTGAGTTAGGAACAGAGCAAAATTCAAACCCTGACCCCAGAGTTGAGGCTTTTCGTTGCTGTGACCTGACAGCAGCCACATTTACTTATTCAGAAGTGCCTGCCAGCCTTGATTTGTTCCTCTGTGAAATGGAATGGTAGATGAGTTCCAGCTTGGGCAGTCTGATTGCCAATTTTCTTTTCTTTTTTTTCATGTCCAAGGAGTCCTCTCTCTTTCTCCTCCCTTTGTCGCAGCAGCCTGGTGCTAAGTAACTAGGTCCCAAGTTCAGGACTGTGGGGGATCGCTGACCTTCCCACCCCAGCAACTAATCTCTGTTCTGCAGTCTCTACCGACTTCACTCAAACCATAGCTAATCCATCCTGGTCACTTCCACTGCCTCCTCAGGCAGCCACAGAAGGCACTGTATCTCTGGGTCACAGGACTTCCCTCTCTGAGTTACCAAGACCCTCCTGTGGGCTTGGGAAGCCTGAGGGACAATACCAGGAAGCCAGCCAGGCCTTTTACCTCAAGGCCTGACTTGGGTTAGCATCCAGCCCAGGGCCTGACCTGACACCCTGCTTTTATGTTAGAACATTCTAGTTTGTGATCAGCCTGCCCTACCTCTTTGGGGAAACTGAGGCAGGAAAAGCTGGCAACGGTCACTCTGCAAATGGAGTGTATGGCCTGACCCTGCATATACACAGATGCTGCATCTTCTACCCAGACATTTTGAGACCTGATGAGCTCTCTTATGGGATGCATATCACAGTGGACAAATCCCATCCTTGTTGCAGGAATGAAGCTCTGCTTCCCTTCAAGGCAGGGGTCAGGGTTCGGAAGGGGAAAGGGGTGGGAGCAAGATCCACTGGAAGCAGTGAAAAGAACACTGATGAGGCTAATAGAATGCTTTACTCAGGAAGATTCCCCTCATCAGCCTCCCTGACGCCCCCTCACCATGGTCCGGGATAAGGGCCAGGACCCTCCAGGTCTCCAAGGTCAGTCAGGCCCAGAGGGGTCTCTGGCCCCACGCCAGTTTCATGTGGCACTGCAGCCAAGGGATTTTCAAAGCCAGCTTATGTGAGCAGCAGCTGGGCTGACGGGGAAAGCCTGTCCTCATCCCACCCTCCAGGGCCCCTTGGAAGAAAGGGTGTGTGTTTGCACACTGTCGTCCAGGGACAGAGACAAAGGGAAATGTGTTTCCTGACCTGTCCACAAGGGTGGTATGTCAATAGTGACAGAGGCTGTGGGCCCTGGCCCGAGCTGTTCCTGTGGTGCCCAGATCACTGATTATCCAAACAGGGACATTTCTGAGAATGACAGGGGCACCACTAAGAATTATGCTGGAACCACAGGCATAAACCGGGAGTATCCCAAGCAAGCTGGGACATATGCACCCCAACTTTACCCTCTCAGCCCTGGTTTCAATATCTGTAAAGTGATTCAATTGAATGAGACAATTTCTACATTCTACTCCAGTCCTCAAAATCTGTTATTTGGCCTGAGAATTCTGATTTTAATGGTACCCTTTGATGACACCGAGGGTAGGTCACATTTACTGCATAATTACTATGTGCTAGTCACTGTGTTAAAGACTTTCCATGAACTCTCACTGAATCCTCTAAGCAGCATTGGGAGGTGGGAGTGACAATAATAAACAAGAACTGTTATTTACTGAGCACGTACTATGTGCCAGGCACCTTGTGATGTGCTCTGCATGCCTCACCTTCTTTAAGCCTCACAGTGACCTTATGAGAAGATACTGCAATTGACTCCCTTTTACAGATGAGGAAACTGAGGCACAGAGAAGCTAACTAGCTTGTCCCAGGCCACAGAGCCAGTTTCAGACCTTGAACGGACCTTCCCAAGCACGTGGTCTAGGCCTATTTTCTTTGTTGGTGAGAAAATTGCAGATCAGAGAGGCCTGGTGACATAGTCCAGGTCACACAGAACTCAAGGCCTGGGTTGGGGAATCAGACCCAGGCTGGGCCTCAAGCCACAGTGCTGCCTGGCTCCTTGGGAGTGTTTAAAGGCTTATAGTGGTGCCTGGCACCCAGACAGGGTCCCGGAAGCCTGGGTCATACCTATTACTTCATGTATATATTTGGGCCTGGGTGTGGGTGCGACTAGTGGGTGGGGAGGAGGGGGCAGGGTACTGGGAGGGAGCCCCTCAGTGAACAGCCCCCACATTGTCAGCAGCAAGTGGGCTGAGCTGCAGGGAGGGAGACAGAGGAACAAAAATAAACTTTCTCTGGCAGCTGCCCAACCCAGCAAAGGTTCTGTTTCTCCTCACTGCCGCCCAAGTGCAGAAGGGTGACCAGCCCTGCTCACCCTCCCGTGACTCAGACCTGCCTGCGGGGGCTAGGCCCTCCCCTCCACCTGAAAAGCAGCCGGGTTTGAGGATGCCTCTCTACCTCATGGAGCTTTTGAGACCCGCACTAGGGAGGGTCCTCTTTGGGAATGAGAGATGCTGTGGGGGACCACCCAGAGCCTAGGGACCTGGGCTCAGAGGCTCACTTTGCCACAGATCCCTGGTATATCCTTGGGAGACCCCTTGCTTTCTGAACCTCAGTTTTTCCAAGACTCAAGGGCTCTAGGAAGCAGGAAGTACCCAGGCCCTCCGGAAAGTGTAAACGGCTGTAGGGAGGTGAGGGATGTTTCTCACCACCTCCTTGGAGCTGCCTGTGGAGATACAGGGGCCCAAAGCCGGGGAATCTGGGGAGACAAACCCCTAAAGCCTCTATGGCCAGCACCTGACAGCAAGGGGCTCTCAGACAGGCCCTCAGGAGGGTGTCAGAGGACCAAGGTCCCACTCTACTCAGAGTCTGGGCTGCTTTTTATGCAAGGGAAAGTGGGAGGCCAGCAGGTCAAGGATTTAGGCGGAAAAGGAGGACCTGTGAGGAGCTTCTTGCTTAACTCCTGCTATAGATGGGCCTACTGAGCCCAGAGAGCGGGTGTTTTTATCCAAAGTCATGCCGGCCCAGAGCACTATGCCCCAGGTTGTCCCCTTTCCCAGGAGGAATCCATGTGCCTGCAGCTTTTCATGCATTTCCACATAAGCATCCTGCAAGGCTGAGGTCTGAGCCCTACTTTATAGATGAGGAAACTGGAGCTCAGGGAGATGAAACCTCTTGCCAAAGTTCCCTCAGTGGTTAGTGGTGGAACCCAGGTGTGTGGGATTCCCCCGACCCACCGTGTGTGTCCCACCCCTGGCTAAAGGTCACTGCTTTCTACCCTTGCAGGCCCTGCCCCCAGTGAGGAGGCCGGGACCAAGGCCCGGTTCCCGCTGTCTGATGCTGTGGAAGAGGGTATCTGGAGGGCCGAGGTTGTGGACCAGCAGGGCAGAGCCCTCTCGCTGCAGCTTAGCGCTCCGGCCAATGCCCCCATTGGCCTGTACCGCCTCAGCCTGGAGGCCTCCACTGGCTACCAGGGCTCCAGCTTCGTGCTGGGCCACTTCAACCTGCTCTTTAACACCTGGTGCCCAGGTGAGCCGGACTCCACCCATGAGCGGGGCAGGGAGGTGGGTGGGTCTGGACCACCCACAGGGCCCACTGCTGGGGGTGGCGGGGGGAGGGGAGGGTGCTGGCTGGGGGATGGGGCAGAAGAGACAACAAGGTAGATGGAGTGAGGCCCACTGCGCTGCCCCACCTCACAAAACCTCCGTGATGCGAGAACTCTTGTTATTTCCATTTACAGAGTAGAGACAGGCTTGTGGAAGCAAAATGACTTGCCTGAGTCCACAGAGCTGCCTAGGGAGCTGCCCCGTGTCTGCAGCCCATAGGTCCTCATGGCACTGTGAGCTGGGCATGGCGGTGTCTCTGGTTCAGAAGCCCCATTCAGGAATGGGGTGCCCAGTGGATGCCAGGGGCTGTGGCTCCACGCCTGGGTTTGTTCCACGGGACTTTGTTTTAAATCTCCCCCAAACTGGCTCATGGAGGGGAAACTGAGGGAGGGGTAGAGGGGTGGGGAAGCCAGAGGGCAGGCAGGGCAATTTGGTTGCCTAAGTGCCTCTTTAGATGGTCGCTCAACAAACCCATGGGTGTTCTTGCATCAGACAGAAAACTAAGGCTCAGTGAGGTCACATGGCTTTTGGAGGCCCCTTCAATTCTGAGTGGACAGTGCTGAACAGAACTAGGCAGAGGGAGAGCTTGGTGGAGCTGAGACTGATTCGAGCAAGAGAGAGGCAGGGGCTGCCATGCCCCTTCCTGAGCCTCAGTTTCCCCATCTGACTAACAAGGCAGTCAGATCTGTTTCCTCCTGGTCCTACACAGCAAGGCAGACAGGGAAGCCTTGGCCAGCCCCAGCCTGCGAAGGGGTGTCCCTCCTCAAATTCTGGGCTAAGGGCAGAAATTTTGGCACCCAGCTTACTGGGCCACATCTTTATTTTATTTTTTCTTTTCCATTTTGGGGCATTTTATAACATATTTGAGCAGAAAGATTTTTTATTGGTTATGTATTTTGGCTTTAATTTCTAATTATAACCATAAGACAGTAGAACATCCTCTTTATAAAAGCTTTAAGCACTGTGGAGAAACAGTCCCACCTTGACTTCCCCTATGGGAGCACCATTGTTAGTGGAATTGGGTGCTCATCTCCTTAGATTTGGGTGTATGTACCTGGAGACATTGCTGTATTAATGGGTTTCTCTGTCTCTCAAAACATAAAAGGATCCCACATTATACATCAACCACAACTTGGGTGTTTTTCTGCCTGTGATACGTCTTGAGGCTCCTTCCACGTTGGTCTGCAGGCACCTGCTTTTTCGAGAACCAGATTCCCCAGGGTCCTGCCAGTGTGAACAGTTCATTCATCTGGCCCTTCCACCCATAGCCATGAGGTTTTCCCCAGTGACTCATCATGGGAGGATGTCTCCACAAGCACCCTTGCTCATATGCCCTGTGGCCACATGCAATGGTTTGTCTGGATAGAAGTGGCCTTGCTGGACACCACTGTACAGTTGTATTGACTTCATCAATCTGTAGAACTAGCTGGCTGCCCTAACCATGGGGCAGGAACATGCCAGGGTCCCCCTGCTAGCCGACACTGCAGGGTTTCAGAGTCCAGGGAACAGGGACGAGGTTCTGGGATGTCCCCCTTCCTCTGGCCCTGCCCCTTTCAGCCCAGAAGGTTGGGATGGTCACTGAAGTGACCCATATCCCAGGGCAGGAGCCTTGAGGGGCCAGTGGAGCTGGTGATACAGAGGCAGGAAGTTGGGCTCCCTGGGGATGGGGGTGCTGGGCCAGAAATCTGCTCTCCCTGTTCAGGGGAGAGGGTGGGACTGCTTGTAAACGGGACACCCCTGTCCCTGAACTCCAGCAAGGACAGGATGGAGTGCTGGGTATGTGGGACATTTCTCGTCCCCAGTGCGCCCACCTTCAACAGAGACCTGAGCCAGAGATGTCACAGACCCAGATTCCCGGGCTGGGGTGGGGACAATTTGACAAGTACTGACACTCCCACCCCGATGGTGAAACACCATGGGGTTTTCTTCCTCTTTCCTTCTTTCTCCCTCACGACCAGTTGATTTACAGTCACATAGTTCTTTTATCATAAGGCAAGCTTTTGCTGCACAGTCTCTGGAAACAAAAGCAGGATATATAAGACCCTTGGCCACTTTCACATTTGCTTCCTGCCATGCAATCAGAGTGGGGGTTTCAGGCCTCTGCAGATGGGCCAACAGAGCCCAGGGTCCCAGGGGGGCTGTGCAACTGCATCCCAGGTCCAACTCACCAGATTTTTAGGGGCCCACAAGAAAGTTTTGATTTCTCTTAAAATCAGAAGGAAAAAAAATGAACATTTGGTCAGATAATATATTTAATATATACTATTAATCTTTGTCATTATACTATTATACATTATTTGTCATTATATTAATATTTATCATTGTACCAATGCAGTTGTAAAAATATTTTTTTTTAATATTTTTTTTATGGAAGAAAGTCTCAGGGAGGCAAAAATACCCAGGGGCCACCAAAGTCATAATATGTCTCTGAATTTCCCCTTCCCAGCCTCAGTTTCTGCTTCTGTGAAATGGGGATGATGAAGGCCAGCCTGACTTTTAACCTCCTGCTGACTGGCCCCAAGTGCCTCAGTCCCCCCTTCTGTCATCACTAGCCACAGGGAACTAAGGACCCTGCAGTTCCCAGCAGCTGACCCTTTGCTCTTTCTGGTCCTCTGCTTAGAAGGCCATCCCACCACACTTCAAGTGTCTAAATCTTAGTCATTATCAAGGCAATGTTCAGATGCTACCTGCTCAAGGTGGCGCCCCCTGATCCCCCAAGCTGGTCAAGATCCCACCTCCTTGAGCTGTAGAGACCCTTTCTTGGCTTTGCTTCACCTTGAATCACGCTCCTCCCTCTGGCTCAGGGCTTTAGCTTGCAATGTACCTTTCAGATCTGCCATCACATTTTACTCTTGAAGAACATGATGTGGGCAGAGAAAGAGAGGGCTGTGCAGGGTCACACGCAAGTGAGCATTAGAGCAGAGGGACTAGTGCTCCTCTGTCCCTTCTTTGACAGCTGTTTTTGCATCTGTAAAATCATCTTGAGTCTTAGCTTTCCTCTCTGTAAAATGGGCCTTTCAAGGACCCCTTCCTCACAAGGCTCTTGTGGAAATTAAATGAGTTAATATATGTCATACACTTAGCACAGGTCCTGGGCATGAGGTGAGTGCTGGATAAATGGTAGGCACTGGTATCACTAGCTGATAAACCCTTATCTCGTTGATACAGGATTATTGGTTACCGATTAGTTTTTCTGATTAAAAGATGGAAGGGCCTCAGAGACAATGGCCTGGCCCTGGGAATTAGCATCCTGGCTGCCATGTCTATGGGGACCCTGGGCCCTGCTACTCAGAGCTGAGGCCCCTTCATTCCCACCCACAGAGGATGCTGTGTACCTGGACTCAGAGGAAGAACGGCAGGAGTACGTCCTCACCCAGCAGGGCTTCATCTACCAGGGCTCAGCCAAGTTCATTAAGAGCTCACCTTGGAACTTTGGACAGGTAGGGCCACACCCTGCCCCTTCCAACCGTCTCATGCCTACTGTGCACTAGACCATGGGTCTCAGGCAGTCAAAGCTGTAAAGGTGTAAGTACGTCTCAGAGTCACCCACACCACGCTGTCAGGGATTCAAGGGCCCTGTAATAGCTGGAGGTTTCAGAGAGAGAGCCCAGGCCAGGCCTGAGGCTCATACCGCAAAGGGTTACCCTACTCACTGTGGAAACAGCAGCCATGGCTCAATGTGGGGAAAGAATTAGGAGAGACTTTGGGACTTGTGGGGCTGGTAGGTACTCCAGGAAACAGAAGGAGAACATTCAAAGTCATATACCAAAATAATGGGCAGCACTTAGCAAACACTGATTTACTATGTGCTAGGCTGTGCTGAGAGGGGCTTTAAACCATTAGCTAGATCAGTGGTTCTCAAACTTGAATATATGTTAGAATCACTGGGAAAGTGTGTTGAAACTGGGTCCCATCCTAGTTTCTGATTTGGTAGGTCTGAGTGGGGCTGAGAATTTGCATTCTAGTAAGTTCCCAGCAGTGATGCTGCTGACCCAGTGATCATACTATCAGAATCACTAGTTGTATCAGTTAGCTCTTACAGAATAACAAATAAGCCCCAAACTGGGAGGCTTAAAACAATAACCATTTATTATTTCTCACAAATCTATGGGTCAGCCCGGGCATGGCTGTCTAAGCCGTGCCCGGGCTGACCTTACCTGATGGCTCATTTTGTTCCATGTGGTTCCTTGTCTTTCAGCTGACCAGCCTGGACTGGTTCTCCAAATCAGGGCTCTTTTTTCCTCTCCCTTCCAGAATCTCATAAAAATTCTTGAGCCATTGCTGAGAAAACTCATGAAGCAAGAACTGTCACATTCCTGGCCCATCAACCTCCTGGTGTCTTAGGGCAGTGTTGGCCTCCTGGGGTGGGGTTCCCCTTGAGATTTCTCCCAGCAGCCCATAGTCAGGGTCCATGTTCAGGTCTATGGAGTCCTGCCCAGGGACCACAGGGAAGTCCTAACCTATGTGCTCTGAGTCTCTGACCTCAGTTGGCATATCTGAATAGTGGAGATAATAACTGCAAAAATATCTGCCCAGAAATCATGTAGCCTGCTGTGGGATGTAAATGAAATGGCAGTGTGACCAGGACATATAAATACATTTTAAAAAATCAGCTGGCTCTTATTTCCAGGGCTCTGTCTTCTCCCCTGAGACACAAAACAAAGCCAAATCCTTCCTTTCATTTCCTGAGTTCCTGTCCTGTATTCATGTTTGTGCTGGGCTGTGGGGCAGCCCTTACAATCCAGGATGTCATTACAATCCAGGATAAGACCTCGAGGAAGGAAGGGAATAGCTATGCATGGGAATCAGGACAGTTCCTGAAACAGGCAGCTTTGAGCTGGGCTTTGAAGGAGATGGAAGTATAGTCCAGCAGGGACAGGGAATTGCATGAACAAAAGCTCAGGAGTGGGCAAGTTTATCCTAAGAAGAATTCTGTAGCTTGGGGGGCACTTGATGTATAAAGGAGCCCCAACAGATGAAGTGGGAGAGATGAGCAGTGAATGATAGGTTGTGAATGATAGGCTGATGGCAATAGGGAGCTACCAAAGGGTTGAAACCATGGAGGGCTGCTCTGTAGCATGGAGGGAAACCTGTGAGGAGGCCTGCTTTGGGACAACACCACAGAGGTGGGGAACAAGGGGGTGCATGCAAGAGCCCTTGAACAGGTCAGATAAGTGGCAAGGAGGGGAGCCCTACTTTTGATAATAACATTTGAGTTGCAAGGATGAGAAGGTGTGAGCCATGCAGAGAATGGCAGTGAGAGCATTCCAAGCAAAGGAAATCACAAAGGCAAAGGCCAGGAGGCAGTGAGCTTGGGGCAGATTGGTAAGAGATGAGGTCAGAGGGGTGGGGCAAGGAATATGAAGGACCCTGCAGGTAGAGTGGGGAATCTAGATTAACCTTGGGCACAGTGGAAACAGAGGAATGGAGGAATCAGGAGATTAGGTTATATCTACAATCAACCCCAGCTCCGATCAGAGCAGTGTGTGGGGTGGGTGCAGGGGGAGGAGGGGACTCTCACCAGTTCTTCAGGGTGAGTCAGGCTTTAGGGGAAGAGGGAGATTTGGCAGAGCACAGATGAGAAAGGGGCAGTGGCAGGGCCTGAGGTGGCTCTGAGGGGAGGGAAGCCTCAGGGACACTGTGGGCTTTATTCCACATTCCTAGGACCCCCCCAGCCAGGCCCTGGAAGCAGGCACACCCCCTTCCATTTCTCACAAACTCAGTCATTATCCCACCCCACCCCCTCCTGGGCCAGACAAAGCTGGGATGACAGAGATACAGCTATCTCAGCTCAAGCCTTCATAGTGGGTAGGATAGAACAGAGAGGACCTACAGCTGCTGGGCCTCAAGGCGGGCTTCCCAGAGGAGGTGACGTTCTCATCTCCCTCTCCCTCTTGTGTTTCCTCTGATACAGTTTGAAGATGGGATCCTGGACATCTGCCTGATGCTCCTGGACGTCAACCCCAAGTTCCTGCGGGATGCTGGCCGGGACTGCTCCCGCCGCAGCAGTCCTGTCTACGTGGGCCGGGTGGTGAGCAGGATGGTGAGTGCGGCTGGGCTCACCAGGGCACAGGGTCCCACGATGGGCCCCAGGAGCTCCTCCCTCCCTGTGATGACGAGGCCATGCTCTGCACTGGGCACAGTGGGGACACCCAGGGAATGGATAAGCTTCAGCTAAGAGAGGTTATATTCAGAAAGACAAGATTTATTCAAATGAGTGTAATGCCAAGTGGGTCCTCAGAACAATTCGCTCATTCATTCATTTGCACACTCATTCAGCAAAAATTTATCAAGCGCCACCTATGTCCTAGGTGCTGGAGAGACAGCCAGGTATAAGACACACGTGGTTTCTAACTTCGTAGAGCTTACATTCTAGTAGGTGGAGGAAGGAGACAGACATTAAAATATCAAGTGGACAGTCATAAATGCTGATACACATGTAAAGTAACCCACATGGGTGAGTGTCTGATTGCAGGGCCTGACTTCAGTGAGCAGCTGGGGGTACTGCCTAGTGATGATCCCTGAGCTGATACAGCAACTAGGAGAAGAGCATTCCAGGAAGAAGGTACCACTTGTGCAAAGGCCCTGAGGAGGGCTTGGTTTGAGGAACAATTTGGCAGACTTGAGGAATAGAAGTGAGGCCACTGAGGCCCAAGCAGAGTCAACAAGGGGGCATGGGGTGCAAGCAGGCTGCAGAGGTGGGCAAGGGCCAGAGCACAAAGGCTTTGTAGGCCACAGTCAGGAAGCTGGAATTTATTCTCAAAGTAATGGGAGTTTTGGGGGGATGGCACAGTCTGGGCAAGGGCCAGAGTGGGTCTGTATAAGCCTTGGATCGTGCTGTGCCACTCCCCTGCCACCCATGTACAAATTCACATCCCCAGCTTCGCCTTCATGACTTTGACTCCGCTCCAGCCTGCCCCTCCTTTCTCTGCACCCCATATTCCAGCCCCAACCATGTGCAACACACTGTCACACCTTGGTGTCTTTGTACCTATTGTTCCCTCTTCCCAGAGCTCCCTTCCCTGCCTTTCACCACATGCCAAACAAACTCATGTTTGCCATAGTGCAGCTGTCGTCCTGCCCCCAGGCTTGTCCCTCTGATGCCCTGCTTGTTGCAGGTCAACTGCAATGATGACCAGGGTGTGCTGCTGGGACGCTGGGACAACAACTATGGGGATGGCATCAGCCCCATGTTCTGGATCGGCAGTGTGGACATCCTGAGGCGCTGGAAGAACCACGGCTGCCAGAATGTCAAGTATGGCCAGTGCTGGGTCTTCGCCGCTGTGGCCTGCACAGGTGAGCTGCACACTGGGATGTGGGGAGAGCCTGGTACCTGCCCGCAGCCTCTGTGAGCCCTGGGCTGGGGGCACAGAGAGCACCAGGGTGGGAATCAGGGGACCCCAGTTCTGGTCCTGCTTCTGCCTCTAGTGCTACTGGTGTACTGTGTGGCCTGGAGTTGATGGCTGCCCCTCTCTGGTCTTTTTTCCAATGTCTACCCCTCAGGTGGTTGTTAGGATCAAGAGATGTCATTTGGGAGGCAGCATGCCCTCAGGGTTGAGAATATGGACTTTGGAGCCAGGCATACCTAAATTAAAAATTCTCAGTTATACTCACTTGCTCTGTGACCTTGAGCAAATGATTTTCTGAAACTCAGTTTCCTCATCTGTTAAATGGGACAGCAGGACCTACCTCCTAAGGTGGATTGACATAAAGCTGCAGAGCACATAGTACTTGGCCCAGTTCTTAGCTCTCAGTATATATTAGCTATTAATAACTTGATAATAATATCATCAATGTCAAGAAAGATAAAGCCCTTTCTAAAAAGCAGAGGAGGAGATATAAAGCAATTTAAAACCCAAAATGTAAAATAAATCTTGAAAAAAATCTTGAAAATTTGAGCCCAGAAAAGCTAAAGGTTGCTCCTGGGCTGATGATAATGCTTGTGAGAATGGGTTAGTATCATACACCAGTTAAGAACATGACGTCTGGAGTCAAGGCCTGAATTTAAATCCCAGCTCTGCTTCTTACCAGCTGTGTGTCCTTGGGAAAATCATCTAAGTCCCTTGAGCCTCAGTTCCATTATATAAGTAAATGAGCATAATATTACTGCCTTTATTCTGGGGTGGTTTTGAGGATTAAATAAGTTGTGTGTGAGTGCTTAAAATGATTTCAGGTGCATAACAGCAAATACCTATATAATGCTGCTGCTTATTATTATCATTATTACTATTTAGTATTATTATTATTAGGTTCAAGAAATCTAAGAGGCTGACCTCTGGTTCCCAGCTTTTCTGACTCTGTGATCAGTGCTCAGGCCCAGAGCAGTGTCCTCTGGCGGCCCTGGAGCTGCCCTCCACACTAGCAGTCTGGGTAGGGGCAGCTTGGCTCGGGCAGCTAAACTGTCTCTGCTCTCCCACCCACCCCCACTCTGTTCCTAACTGCCTGCTCTCTGTGGCCTCTTAATTCCCCTTTCTTGTGGAAACTCCCCATCCCAGGCCCTTCCTTTTGAGGGGCCTAACACATGCTTTCTCAGAGCACCCCATGGGTTTTCTGGAAAACCCCCACCATCCACAGCCTGGGACCCCAGCCTCACCCATAGATACCATCTTCACCCTGCTGTGACCCCCTGACGAGTCTGCTATAGATCCTGCCCACAAGTGTCCTCTCCCCAAGGTCAGGGCTGCCTCGGAGGCCCGGCAGCCTTCTCCCAGGCCTGGTGTGTAACAGAGCCAGGGAAGGGTTGGTCTACCGAGGGGGGCGTCTGACTGCCTTGGGCCCTGGATTTCTGCAGGGGAGCCAAATGGTGGGACCAGGGACTCTGGAGCTGAACTGCCTGGTGTGAATCCCAGCTCCGCCTCTCACCCCTGGGTGAACTTGGGCAAGATAAGTGGTATCTCCAAGCTTCAGTTTCCTCACCTGTAAAATGGAGACTAGGTGACTGCCTGAACTTACAGAGCGCTCTCAGGACCCTAGGGAGATGTTACTTAGCACTGTCTCTGGTTCCAGTGAGGTTTGGGTTTGTGGGGTTCCAGGAAATCTGGGATTCCTCAGCTAGATCCTGGAGCATTTTCTCAATGTCCTAGAGTCGGCCAACAAAGACCAGATAGATGTTTGTAGTGATGGGCACCGTAACACGCTTTGCTGTTCCAGCCTGGGCACTGGGCAGACAAAACTACCCAACCCCATCACCTCTCTGAATCATTACAACATCCCGACAAGCTGCTATTATTAGCTCCTCTTAGAGGAGGAAATGAGGCTCAGAGAGGGGAGTGGTTTGCCCAAGGTCACACAGCTGGTGAGCTGCCCAGGTCTGGGGCATCCTCCTGGCCTTGGCCTGTGATCTTGAGCCTCCCCGGGGACACCCTCCCTGCGACAGGAGTGGTACCTTGCTCCTTGGGCAGCAGGGACAGGCCTCTCCAAGCCTCAAGTCTGTACTCAGGCCTGTCACATGACAGCGGGGCAAGGCGGAGGGGGTTGGGACACCAGCCTTTCTAAGAGCAGTGGAGAGTCTGGCCCCTGCCCAGGCCTCGGGTCAAGGGAACCAGGCAAGAGGTGGAGGGGCATAGCCGCTCCTTCCTCCCTCCTCCGCAGTCTGCTGGCCAGCATCCAGGGCAATCTGGGAAGCTCTTGCCCCAGTTGGTGGCAGGCACAGGGCAAAAGTTCCATCCCTGTCCCACACCCTTTCTCTGTCTCAGAGACTCATCCTCACTGAAAACTAGAGTAAAACAAAAGTTAAGTTGCATTAGCAGGGCTTTTGGTTTTACTTTGCTTTTTTTAGATATGTACTTTATTCTATTCTGAGAATATGTTACGTTTACAATATACAGAAAGTGCATAAAAAGTGAGGGTGTAAAAGCACCATAATTCCACCTGTCAGGAGCACCCCTCCACTTGTGTGAGGCTTGCGTGCCTGCCAAGGGCTTCCGTGCCTCCTCTGCGGCCTCCAGGTGCCAGGTGATCTCCTGCCTCTTCTCCTATCATTGCAACCCCGGGGCCAACCCCAGAGCCTGCAAGCTCTCTGTACATGTGCTTTGGTAGGGAGACAGGGCCCTCCGCATCCACAGTGGTGTCCCGACTTGTCTGGTGGCCCTGAATCTGCCCTGTGACCCCAGTTACACAAGGCCCAGAGAGGTGAAGGGGGCCCCAGGTCACACAGCCCAAAGCAGCTGGGCTTGAATGGGAGGCCTCCTGACCTTTTTCCTTCCTCTGCCTGCACTGCTGCTTGCTGCTCTGCTACTTCCCTTCCCCCTTCCTCCTCCTCCTCTCTCTACTTCACCCACTCCTTCATCCCATTTGACAAAATAGTGTGTGCCAGGCCTGGTATATAAAATAAGACATCTCTCACTGCCCTCAGAGGACTAGTTAGAGAATCCTGAGCAGGCCCGTTCATTGAAGATGAATCCCAAGTCTTGCTATGAATGTAAATGATGGGGCAATCTAAACCTGGTGGGGTGGCCTTCTGGGCCAAAGGGACAGCATATGCCAATGTCCTGTGGCAGGTGGGAGTGTGGAATGCTAGAGGAGCAGCAAGGAGGTCAGCGTGGCTGGAGCAATATGTGCAGGGGGTCGTCTGAGGCCAGGCCCTGTAGGTCCAAGGGCCCTGGGTGGAGGTCACTGAATGTTAAGCAGAGGAGTATTGATGTCAGATTTGCACTTGTTGTCAGATGTTAAAGTTAGTTGTGACGTTGGGGGGACAGAGTGGACAAGGAGCAACCAGTGAGGTGGGTACCATTATCTGGATAAGGGGATGGCATACACCCTCACCACCTGGACCAAATGGGTGCAGTGCTCCCTGGGGCACAGAAGTGTGCGCAGAGGCCCAAAGCAGGGCAGATGTGCCTAGATCATCAGCCCTTCCACTAACCCCTCCCTGCATCGTGTCTGCACCCTGTACCCCCAGTGCTGCGGTGCCTCGGCATCCCCACCCGAGTTGTGACCAACTATAACTCGGCCCACGACCAGAACAGCAACCTGCTCATCGAGTACTTCCGCAATGAGTACGGGGAGATCCAGGGTGACAAGAGTGAGATGATCTGGTGAGTGGGGTCCAGGGTGGGGGGCAGGGCCCAGTGGGGATGGTCCCCTGGAAAGACCTCTCAGAATCAATTTGAATTGATTTTAAAAATTGAATGGTATTTGGTCAAAGGGAGACAGGGCTTGGGGAGGACTCTCCGGGTGGAGGGGCAGCATGAGCAAAGGCCACGAGGAGGGAGAGTCCATGCACAGTGGCAGCAGGGCGGCAGGGAACATATGTTGTCAGGACTTTGGAATGCCGGGTTAGGGGGTCTGGGCATGATTCTGAAGGCGACAGGCTGTCACCAACGGCTGCAAACTGGGGAAAGGACATGCTAATGACCTTGTAGCAGGAGGTCAGTAGGGACAGATTGAACGCCAGGGGTCAGGGGGTTGGTTCCAGCCAGAGGTGATGAGGCCTGATCCAGGGCAGAGCCCGTGGGCTGGAAAAGAAAGAGCCGCCAAGAAATTAGGAGGTCACGTCAGCTGGACTTGAGGAGTCCCTAAAAAGGGAGGAGGTGTGGGGGAGGCCACTGAGAATGACTCCCCGTGTAGGAGTGAGCACCTAGCTAGGCCTGTAGGAGCAAGAGCAAAGAGGAGCATGGGGGTCACACTGGGCTCAGCTCAAGACCAGGTGAGCATGTGTGAACTGCTGGGGGCACGTGGCAGTGCAGGTCTGAATGGGAGGCCAACGCTCTGCTTCATTCCCCAACAGGAACTTCCACTGCTGGGTGGAGTCGTGGATGACCAGGCCGGACCTGCAGCCGGGGTACGAGGGGTGGCAGGCCCTCGATCCAACACCCCAGGAGAAGAGCGAAGGTAAGTAGACGTGGCCCCGTTACCTAGATGAGGAACCAGAGGCTTGAAGAGGACCTCCTGGAGTCCCCCAGCTGGAGAGTGGCAGGGCTGGGATTCTAACCCTCACCTGGCAGGCTCCAGAGACCACTGAGTGGTCCACGTGAGTGCTGGGGGACCTCAATGGTATTTTATAATATGCTTCTCTTATAATTTGGAAAGTAATTTGCACACTAGGGAAAACAGAAAAGATGGAGAAGCACAAAGAAAAAAATTAAATGGCATCTTTGTCCTTTCCCCTAAAAGAAGCATCATTAACATTCACACACAGCGTTCAGTAATTTCCAATTACATATTTGAGGGAGGTGGGGGGCAGTGGGTGCAGGTGAGAGAGAGAGAGAGAGAGAGAGAGAGAGAGAGAGAACACCAATGCAAAATTCGGTGAAGCAAATGGATCCGTTCTCAGAATATGTTTGAATGCATTGATGTAGTACCTAGGGTAGCAAAGAAAACCAATTACATTAAAATGTAGTTATTGAAATAAAAAATAAATAAACACGATATAATAATACATGTTTTATATAAGAATATCTACTAGTAAAGTTCCACAATTAGGTGGTAGAGAACGTAAAAGACATTCCCAGTTATCTGTGACAAGTACAAGCGATATAAAAGTATCTGTGCTCCTTGTGAGTCACAAGTCCTAAGTGCACCTACTGTCTATTGTCTGCTTTCACAGTCAAAGAAAGTGCTATCAAAGTTTAGGGCCCCTGAACTCTAGCCTATTGTTTAGTCTTCAGATTAGTAACGCTGGTTGCCTGTAGCCTTTGATCCTGGCTCTGTCCTATCTCCATACGTTATTAGCACTTCTCTATCAGACAGTTTTCACTGATTTGAATTTTAACGACCATTGTGTTTCATCAAATGGACGTTCTATAGTATTTCTCAATATTTAAATTTGGGCCAGTTCGAGGTTGTAAACCACACTGAGATAAACATGCGGCACTCACATTCCTCCAGTCAACATGCACTCTGAGTCCAGTCTGTGTCCAGCACTGGCCACGGCTCTCCGCACTGGCAGGAATCGAGACAGATGCTCTGCCTTCTAAAACACAGCCTGCTGCTGGCTCCTTCATTTCCTGCAGATGTCTTAGGTTATGCTTCCTTTTTATTTATTGAATACTTACACAGCAGTTTGCATATTCAAAGCCTCTTCAGGTAGGTATAAATGTGCCTTGTCCTCCCACCCCATGAAACCAAGGCTTAGGAAAGTTAGGTAACTTTCTCAAGGGTACACAGCTAACAAGAGGGCGAGCTGAGATTTGAACCCTAAAAGCTGGGCTCCAGAATCTCCATTCCTGATTCTTACCCTCTGCTGCCCTCCTAGAAAATGAGTCCCTGAGTCAAAGGGCTTCATGGTCTTGAAATTTTTTTGCTATGTGCAGTGGAATTGTGGAAGATTTTAGACAGTACCACCATCCCCTCAGCCCAGGCTTGTCTCTCCCTCCTCCTTCTACCCCCAACCAGGGACATACTGCTGTGGCCCGGTTCCAGTTCGTGCCATCAAGGAGGGCGACTTGAGCACCAAGTACGATGCACCTTTCGTCTTTGCTGAGGTCAATGCCGACGTGGTGAACTGGATGCAGCAGGAAGACGGGTCCATGCACAAGTTTGACAACCAATCACTGGTGGTGGGACTGAAGATTAGCACTAAGAGCGTGGGCCGCGATGAGCGGGAGGACATCACCCACACCTACAAGTACCCAGAGGGTAGGTACCCTGCTCGCCAGAGCCTTCAGCACAGCCTTGCAAATAAACAGCCCGTTTAACCAGCCCAGCAGGCTTGTATGTGTGTATTTTATTTGGCAGCCCATATACAGCAATGACCTGCAGGTTGCTCTTCCTTTTAAGAAATCCCTTAGAAACAAGAGCAAACTTACCAATATCCTAGGTGGGGGTGGGCATGGGGACGGAGGAAGAGGATTATTCATTTAGAAAAAGAATTCTGTATTCCACAAAGGATTCCTGTTAGTTTTTAAGTCTTACTTTTGGGTTTGTTTGATTCCGTAAAACTGACTAGCATATGCCAATGTCCTGTGGCAGGTGGGAGTGTGGAATGCTAGAGGAGCAGCAAGGAGGTCAGCGTGGCTGGAGCAATATGTGCAGGGGGTCGTCTGAGGCCAGGCCCTGTAGGTCCAAGGGCCCTGGGTGGAGGTCACTGAATGTTAAGCAGAGGAGTATTGATGTCAGATTTGCACTTGTTGTCAGATGTTAAAGTTAGTTGTGACGTTGGGGGGACAGAGTGGACAAGGAGCAACCAGTGAGGTGGGTACCATTATCTGGATAAGGGGATGGCATACACCCTCACCACCTGGACCAAATGGGTGCAGTGCTCCCTGGGGCACAGAAGTGTGCGCAGAGGCCCAAAGCAGGGCAGATGTGCCTAGATCATCAGCCCTTCCACTAACCCCTCCCTGCATCGTGTCTGCACCCTGTACCCCCAGTGCTGCGGTGCCTCGGCATCCCCACCCGAGTTGTGACCAACTATAACTCGGCCCACGACCAGAACAGCAACCTGCTCATCGAGTACTTCCGCAATGAGTACGGGGAGATCCAGGGTGACAAGAGTGAGATGATCTGGTGAGTGGGGTCCAGGGTGGGGGGCAGGGCCCAGTGGGGATGGTCCCCTGGAAAGACCTCTCAGAATCAATTTGAATTGATTTTAAAAATTGAATGTTATTTGGTCAAAGGGAGACAGGGCTTGGGGAGGACTCTCCGGGTGGAGGGGCAGCATGAGCAAAGGCCACGAGGAGGGAGAGTCCATGCACAGTGGCAGCAGGGCGGCAGGGAACATATGTTGTCAGGACTTTGGAATGCCGGGTTAGGGGGTCTGGGCATGATTCTGAAGGCGACAGGCTGTCACCAACGGCTGCAAACTGGGGAAAGGACATGCTAATGACCTTGTAGCAGGAGGTCAGTAGGGACAGATTGAACGCCAGGGGTCAGGGGGTTGGTTCCAGCCAGAGGTGATGAGGCCTGATCCAGGGCAGAGCCCGTGGGCTGGAAAAGAAAGAGCCGCCAAGAAATTAGGAGGTCACGTCAGCTGGACTTGAGGAGTCCCTAAAAAGGGAGGAGGTGTGGGGGAGGCCACTGAGAATGACTCCCCGTGTAGGAGTGAGCACCTAGCTAGGCCTGTAGGAGCAAGAGCAAAGAGGAGCATGGGGGTCACACTGGGCTCAGCTCAAGACCAGGTGAGCATGTGTGAACTGCTGGGGGCACGTGGCAGTGCAGGTCTGAATGGGAGGCCAACGCTCTGCTTCATTCCCCAACAGGAACTTCCACTGCTGGGTGGAGTCGTGGATGACCAGGCCGGACCTGCAGCCGGGGTACGAGGGGTGGCAGGCCCTCGATCCAACACCCCAGGAGAAGAGCGAAGGTAAGTAGACGTGGCCCCGTTACCTAGATGAGGAACCAGAGGCTTGAAGAGGACCTCCTGGAGTCCCCCAGCTGGAGAGTGGCAGGGCTGGGATTCTAACCCTCACCTGGCAGGCTCCAGAGACCACTGAGTGGTCCACGTGAGTGCTGGGGGACCTCAATGGTATTTTATAATATGCTTCTCTTATAATTTGGAAAGTAATTTGCACACTAGGGAAAACAGAAAAGATGGAGAAGCACAAAGAAAAAAATTAAATGGCATCTTTGTCCTTTCCCCTAAAAGAAGCATCATTAACATTCACACACAGCGTTCAGTAATTTCCAATTACATATTTGAGGGAGGTGGGGGGCAGTGGGTGCAGGTGAGAGAGAGAGAGAGAGAGAGAGAGAGAGAGAGAGAACACCAATGCAAAATTCGGTGAAGCAAATGGATCCGTTCTCAGAATATGTTTGAATGCATTGATGTAGTACCTAGGGTAGCAAAGAAAACCAATTACATTAAAATGTAGTTATTGAAATAAAAAATAAATAAACACGATATAATAATACATGTTTTATATAAGAATATCTACTAGTAAAGTTCCACAATTAGGTGGTAGAGAACGTAAAAGACATTCCCAGTTATCTGTGACAAGTACAAGCGATATAAAAGTATCTGTGCTCCTTGTGAGTCACAAGTCCTAAGTGCACCTACTGTCTATTGTCTGCTTTCACAGTCAAAGAAAGTGCTATCAAAGTTTAGGGCCCCTGAACTCTAGCCTATTGTTTAGTCTTCAGATTAGTAACGCTGGTTGCCTGTAGCCTTTGATCCTGGCTCTGTCCTATCTCCATACGTTATTAGCACTTCTCTATCAGACAGTTTTCACTGATTTGAATTTTAACGACCATTGTGTTTCATCAAATGGACGTTCTATAGTATTTCTCAATATTTAAATTTGGGCCAGTTCGAGGTTGTAAACCACACTGAGATAAACATGCGGCACTCACATTCCTCCAGTCAACATGCACTCTGAGTCCAGTCTGTGTCCAGCACTGGCCACGGCTCTCCGCACAGGCAGGAATCGAGACAGATGCGCTGCCTTCTAAAACACAGCCTGCTGCTGGCTCCTTCATTTCCTGCAGATGTCTTAGGTTATGCTTCCTTTTTATTTATTGAATACTTACACAGCAGTTTGCATATTCAAAGCCTCTTCAGGTAGGTATAAATGTGCCTTGTCCTCCCACCCCATGAAACCAAGGCTTAGGAAAGTTAGGTAACTTTCTCAAGGGTACACAGCTAACAAGAGGGCGAGCTGAGATTTGAACCCTAAAAGCTGGGCTCCAGAATCTCCATTCCTGATTCTTACCCTCTGCTGCCCTCCTAGAAAATGAGTCCCTGAGTCAAAGGGCTTCATGGTCTTGAAATTTTTTTGCTATGTGCAGTGGAATTGTGGAAGATTTTAGACAGTACCACCATCCCCTCAGCCCAGGCTTGTCTCTCCCTCCTCCTTCTACCCCCAACCAGGGACATACTGCTGTGGCCCGGTTCCAGTTCGTGCCATCAAGGAGGGCGACTTGAGCACCAAGTACGATGCACCTTTCGTCTTTGCTGAGGTCAATGCCGACGTGGTGAACTGGATGCAGCAGGAAGACGGGTCCATGCACAAGTTTGACAACCAATCACTGGTGGTGGGACTGAAGATTAGCACTAAGAGCGTGGGCCGCGATGAGCGGGAGGACATCACCCACACCTACAAGTACCCAGAGGGTAGGTACCCTGCTCGCCAGAGCCTTCAGCACAGCCTTGCAAATAAACAGCCCGTTTAACCAGCCCAGCAGGCTTGTATGTGTGTATTTTATTTGGCAGCCCATATACAGCAATGACCTGCAGGTTGCTCTTCCTTTTAAGAAATCCCTTAGAAACAAGAGCAAACTTACCAATATCCTAGGTGGGGGTGGGCATGGGGACGGAGGAAGAGGATTATTCATTTAGAAAAAGAATTCTGTATTCCACAAAGGATTCCTGTTAGTTTTTAAGTCTTACTTTTGGGTTTGTTTGATTCCGTAAAACTGACGGGGAAAGACAGGTGTATAGGAGAGGCGTGCATCTTAGAAAAACTAATGACATTCATGTTTATTAACAATATTTATCAGTAGTAGGACCTACTGTAAGTGGGCAATTCCACATTTTTAAAAAATTGCAACACTTGTACTAGAGAGGCTTAAAAGTCCAGAGGGGCCACAGAGGAGAGGTCCCTGGAACTCTGTAGTGTTTATTGTTGCAGTGTCTCATGTATGGCTGGGAAGTGAGCATGAAGATGGATGGGGAATGGTTAAATTAAAGAGAAATGGATAAGAGAATGTAAAGATAATAAGATGGGTCCAATCAGACACAAAGACGAGGCTTTTTTCTGCTACTAATGCTGAATCACTAGGGAGAAAAACAGCTGCAGCTTATTTGTAAACCTGGATTTGAGCACATCCAGCCACCAAGTCAATATAATAGATATTTTCTAAGCATCTACTGTGCACCAGGCACAGCAGGGCTCACAGAGGTGACTGAAGAAACCACAATCCCTGCCCTCACTGACTTTCCAGGGCTGTGGGGGGCTTGGGTATTAAGTGGCCATGCTCTAGCTGGAAGGAATAAACAAGAAAAAGATGGTTTCCCTGGCCTCTGAAAGGTCTAGAGCTGACGTTTTAATAGAAAAACTAGATATGTACCTGACAACACTGGGGAAAAGAAGAGAAGGAGAATAGGAGAGAGGAAGATGAAACATAAAGGAAGGAACAATCATTCCTGCTGGAGAGTTCCACAGGTAGGGAAAGGGAGGGAAAGGATTCCAGGTGCGTAATCCCTGTGCAAATACTTGGAGATGACAAAGTTTGCATTTTATTAGTGCTTACTCTGCACCCAAGCACTGTGGTAAACATGGGGTATGACACAAAGGTAAGTCAGACTGTCTTAGTCCTTGAGCAGCTCAAGAGGGTAAGTACATAAACAGAAAACAACTTGGTTGGCTAAAAAAGCCATGATAGGCAGTAGGCAGCTGTGAAACTCCAGAAAACATTGTCACTCATTCATCCTGGTCAGAGTAGGCTTCCTGGAGGAAGGGTCATTTGAGGCTGGGTCTTGAGGGATGTATAGGAGTTTGCTTATGAAGCGTAAATGAAATATTCTTTCCTCCTCCTAGCACAGAAATGTAGAGAAGGGGCTCCTTTGGGGATCATCAGAAGAAGCCTGCTCCAGCCTCCTTCTCACTGATCCCTATTCCAGCCGTAATGAAGCTCTCTTCCCTACCCACACAGGTTCCCTGGAGGAGAGGGAAGCCTTCACGAGGGCCAACCACCTGAACAAGCTGGTTGATAAAGAGGAGGCAGGGGTGGCCATGCGAATTCGAGTAGGCCAGAGCATGAACATGGGCAGTGACTTTGACGTCTTTGCCTACATCACCAACAACACGGCCGAGATACACGCCTGCCGCCTCATGCTCTGTGCCCGCACGGTCAGCTACAATGGGATCCTGGGGCCTGAGTGTGGCACCAAGGACCTGCTCAACGTTTCCCTGGAGCCCTTCTCTGGTAAGGCTGGGTGTTCCTGGAGCAGCTGGACCACCGCCTGATGACGTGTTCAGTGGTGCCCTGAGCACTTAGCCCATGTACCTTACCTCACAGACACATACATTGCACCGACTCTGGGGCAGGACCTGTCCTAAGCGCTTCATAAATAGCAACCCATTTAATTCTTATGACAAAAACAGGGATTGATGGGTTCTTTTATTACTTCCATTTTCCAGATAAGGAGGCCGAGCACAGAGAGGTTAAGTAATTTTCCCAAGACCACACAGGAAGTGACAGGATTGCGGTTCTAGAAGAGGGACTGCCCACAGAACTTCCTGCGATGGCAGAGATGTTTTCTGCCTGCGCTGTCCTGTGCAGTGGCCCTTGGACACTCCTTGTGGCTATTGAGCACTTGAAATGTATTTAGTGCAAATGCAGAGCTAAAGTTTTACATTCACTTAATTTAAAGATAACCAGCCGCAGATGGCCAGAAACTGTGGCTCTAACAGCAAGAGGAGAACAGGAGTCCAGTCCCCTGTGGGAAGAAGTGTTTTCCTCCCAGGCATGATCTTCTGCTTTCGAGTAGCCCCCGTGCCTGGCCTGGCCATCCTGTGAGACTGGCCTCTATCCCTGCTCTGGGGTAAAATAATTGTCAGTCGAGCTGTCTCTGCTCCCTGGCTTTGTCACCACATCTGGGTACCTTATTTATGTGATATTAAGTTACCTAAATTAACTGAAATTAAAACTTTAGTTCTGCATTTTCTCCAGCCACATGCACCTTCCTAAAAATAAGCCTGAGGCCCTGAGAGGGGTTGTAGCCACCAGGGTCACCTAGGAGGCAGCACAGAGCCCAGTCTCCTGCACCCCAGTAGTGCAAGCCTGATTTCTGCATTTGGAGACTGTAGGCAGAAGGGCAGGGGGTCTGGGAGTGGGGAGAGGACCCAAGAGCCGTGTAAGACACTGACCATCGCCTAAGAGTGATTGCGTAGAACATCCGTCATCCCTGAGGCCTCAGAGAGGAGCATCCTGCTCATTCTGTCACGTGGATAAATGGCCACCTTCCTGAACCATGTCCCCATCAGGCTCATGGGAGTCATGAGCCAACCAGGTCTGGTGGGGAAGAGGATGTGCATATAGCAGCCACCATGCTAAGACACAGGGATGGTGGTGAGGCCCAGGGCGCGGAGTCCTCTGTGTTTACAGTCCCTCCCCTTCCCCTGTCTTTGGTTTTGTCAAACCTGTAATGTTTCCTCTCCTCTATTACCTCTGCCTCCACCCTTGGCCTCCATGGGTCAGCATGCAGGGTGCAGGCCTCCAGTTTCTAAGAAAGCCTGTCTGTGTTTTGAGCCGAGGCCTGTGATGTTCAGTGCCACCCCCACTCTTTCTACCTCGGACCCACCATGTGCACTCCTAGAGCCACATTCTCAGAACAGAGCCCCCGTCAGGGTCCCCAGGCAGACGGGAAGCCCTCAGGGTAGAGCCCCCAGGCACTGGGGCTGGGGTCCCCATGTTTACCCTGCTAAAAGATGTGTTCTGAGGCCAGCCAGACCTGGCTTTGAATCTGGCCTCTACCATCTTCTAAATGTACAATCTTGGGCAGGGAACACATGATCCCTGAGCTTCAAATCACACTCATGCTTTAAATAGTACCTGGGGGGCTGCTGTGAGGACTGAAGGAGATGTGTGCTCAGGCAATAGCAGGAAAGTATAAAATGCCTGGATGTGGTGGGCTTCTCTTCCCACTGAGCAGAAGTGCAAACAGGTGTTGCGAAGCTGAGACGCCCCAGGGCACCTCCTGTGCCAGACAGTGGTCCCAGGTATCAGGGGCAGGGCACCATCCCTACAGGTGTGAGAGGTGGTCAGGACACCCAAGTTCTATTCTTCCAATTCCGGGCCACTGAACAAAGGCTGAGTCATCTCTAAAGAGGCCTGCCAGCCCCTTTGGGTAAACACACACTAGTCAGTTCATTTTTGTGCTCAGAACTGCTTCAAAGGGAGGAAATGACTTTCCTGGAATGTGTTACATGAGGTGAACTCGTCAGGGCCAGTGATGTCAGAATAACTTCTCCCTGTTGAGTCACCGTTTGCCTCCCAGATGTCATGGGGTCCCTTGGAGCATTGTTCTGCTGAGGCTTCAGCCAAGACTGTCAGTGGTGCTCATCCTCCTGGGACGTGTTCAGAACAAGAGGGGTCCCTCCTGCTGCAGAGACACGTGAGGGGCACAGCCTGCAGGAAGAGGGCAGAGGAGGGCACAGGTCCCATGTTTTGCCCTCAAGCTGCAAGCCGGGACTGGTCCAGGTCACCCTGTGATGATAAGATCTGGGGCATTTCCACATGCTGATAGACAGGAAGCCAGGCCTAGGACAAGGGAACACAGTCCTGTTGCCCCCACCCCTGCCTCCTCGCTCAGCTGCTCCTCTCCCTTCCCTTCCTGCCCGCACCCTTTCGGTCTCCTCCCTCACTCCTCCAGGTGGGTCACTGGGAATTCAGCCAGTGTGGTCTTGGTGATCATGCCCAGGTCACTTTCCAGAACAGGGCAAATGATCTCCGAAATGACTAAGACTGACTGCACACGTTTCCTTCTCTCAGCCAGCTTCTGGCCCAAAGCCAAGGCTGGGGTCCTTGGCCCGTGAACAGCAGTTCTCAAAAGGTCCAGCTCCACCCTGGCTTCAGCCTCCTGGAAAAGTCAACAGCTGGGACCACGTCCTCCGAGCTCCTGGAGGACAATGTTTTCCTTCTTTCCTGTGTAGTGGGTCAGAGTTTCCGCTCCGTTCCACCAGGTCCTGCCCCAGGAATTTTCACTCTGTGTCTCTTTTGGCAGAAGGTTTGGTTTTCTTCCTCTCACGTCATCTGATCAGTGGTTGGGGCAGATCCACCCTGGGAAGGATGGCTCGAGGGGTGGGCATGCTAGCGCAGCGCTTTCCAAAGAGTGGGACGTGGACCACCAGGGTGCACGGCCGGGGCCAAGACCTTGAATAATGTGGGAGAAAGTGACTGTCTCTCAGGTCTTTCCTGTGGCCTCAAGCGGACTGTCTCTGCATGCTGACTGGTCTCAGCAGCCCTCAGCCTTACTAACCTCTTGGGGTCTCAGACTCAGAGCCTCAGCAGACAAGATTAACTGGCACTGAATAAGCAGGACTCTGTTTGCTTGTGTTTATTTTTGTCAGTTACCTTCTATTTAGGGTAAATGAGATTAGTTTGCTGCAAATAATGATGAAGTTTCCCTAAGCAAAAAAATTAAAAAATATAACATGAACTGAAAGAAAAATAATGATATACTCAGATGTGTGAAAGATCATGAGAATGGCTGGGATTTGGGCAATGCTGGTCAAGGGGGTGGAGGGAGGGGACGGGTGGCAGAGAGACAGCAGTGTCTCCCACTGTGGCACCGGAAGGGCGAGGAGAGGCTGGCTGGGCTCTCGTTTGACAGGGGAGCCCGAGGAGCTGAAGGGATTTGCCCAAGGCTCTCTGTGCCCAGGTGGACCAGCAGGGCCTAGAGCACATCTCTGGGTCCTGGAGCTCTGCTCTTTCCATTGTTTCTTCCAGCCTTTTACAAGCGGACCCCCAGTGCCCTCATGCCTCAGTGTTCTTGTCACAAAATGAGGCTAAAAACCACACTTCAATTCTCTGTACTTGGGAGGGGTTGCCCCTGCTGGCTTCTTTCTCACCTCCTCTTTACTGTGTGGCTTTTACTCTAAAATGACCTCTGGTCTTAGCTCTGTCCAGCACTGCTAGATTAGCAGGTGCTTAGCTCTGTTTAGCAGGTGCAGAGAGGAAACAGAAACAAAGAGGGAAGGTCATCTTTCAAGGCTCACACAGCCAGTCACCCAGTAGCCAAGCAGGACCAGGTCTCCCAATCTGAGCCCTTCCTGGCAGAAGTGTGTCTTTATCTGTAAAATGGGTGCAATCCCACTGGCCTGGGGAGAAATCGAGGTCCTGAGAGGTGGAGTGATTTGCCCAGCATCACCAGTTAGCAAAGGGCAGAGGCAGAATTAGAACCCAGGCCTGGCAGAGCTCCAGGGCTTCCCCTACCAGCTGTTCTGCCACCCTCCCCAGCCCCTCATGGGAACAGTGGGGCCAGGGCAGGGTCGGGGGGAAGCCTGGGATCTGCCCGTCTGCTCACCTGCTCTGCTCTGTGTCTCGTGGAGATGCCACAGAAGAGGTGGAGCCGTGATTCAGCTCTCATGAGTGCTCTCCCCTCCACACCCCTGCAGAGAAGAGCATTCCCCTCCGAATCCTTTATCAGAAGTACTGTGACTGCCTGACAGAGTCGAATCTCATCAAGGTGCAGGGCCTCCTCATGGAGCCCGCTGCCAACAGCTACGTGCTGGCTGAGAGGGACATTTATCTGGAGAATCCAGAAATCAAGATCCGGGTAAGAGGGGTCTGGGCAGGGTGTGGGGGCAGGGCCGGGTCCCAGGACAGGCCCCGCACATGCACACGCCTGCACCCTGCATCCTCAAAATATTTGACCCTCAGGGTTCCTCAAATCCTAGCTTCATCAAATAGAAGCATTGCGAAGCCAAAAGAATTTGGGACTTGGAGCCTCTAGGAATGAATCCTAGAATCCCAGAGTGGTGGGGTCATGGGATTTAGGGATCTCAGAGTCATGGACCCTTAGAAGCTAAACTCCCAAGGCTAGATCCCCAGGTCTGGGAGCCTGGTTAAGGCACAGACTCTGGAGTCTGTCTGAGTTTGTGCCTGGGTGGCCCGGGGCATGTGCCCAGTTTATTCATCTGTAAAATGAGGTTGATACTCTAGGAATGTTGGAAGAATTAAATACGCATCCATTGGGAGCATACAGAACCACATCCAGGGCATTATAAGGGCTCAGTGAAAGCTGTTCTCTCACCACCATCGTCATCATCACAGGAGGAGCCAAGGCCCCAGGGCCCCGAATTTAGCAGTTACAAATGAATGGTAAAGAGTAGAAGGAGGGGGAGTGAGCACTGAGTGCCAGACACTTGGCTAGGAGCTTGCACACATTAGCTCAGCGAATCCTCATGAGAACCCTGCGGTCAGGCATTTCTCTCCTACGAAGAAACCAAGGATCAGAGAAGGTAGTAACTTTCCCAGGGTCACAGTCAGGAAGAAGGTCCAAAGCCTGTGATCTTTCCACTCCAGACCCTAGAACAAGGGAGGCACTTTATTCATCCCCTGGGTCATGCAGAGCCTCACTGCAGCTCCACGTAACAGACCCAGGCAGGTAGCATCATCCGTGTTTCCAGATGAGGAAACTGAGGCACAGAGGCAGGGAATAATAGTGGCAGACCAGGCAAACAACTGGGCTGAACTGCAGCAAATACAGAGATGGCCCAGCGGGCCCCTGCCTACCCTGTCCCTCACACAGCCCCTCACATCTGCCCCGGGCCCTCTTCCAGATCCTGGGAGAGCCCAAGCAGAATCGCAAGCTGAAGACCGAGGTGTCCCTGCGGAACCCACTCTCCCTGCCCCTGACAGGCTGTGCCTTCACTGTGGAGGGGGCCGGCCTGACCAAGGAGCAGAAGGTCGTGGAGATGTAAGTGTCGGTCACTCCAGTGGGGGAGCCTGGGAGCAGAGGGCAGTTGCTAATGGAGACAGGCACCAAACCCTGGCCCATAACCCATGCCCACGCACCTGCCCCAAGTACCGACGTATCCATTCCCAAACACGCTTGGGGCAGGGTCCCCACCCTGAACACCCAGAGAACATTAGCTGTACTCCATGCACGTGTCTTCACAAACCTATACAGTTACACATTCAATCACTAAGCGCCCACATCCTGAATGTCTGCACCCATACCCATGTAGGTGTATCCTCAGATACTTATTTATGCACATGAGCATACACACTTACTTTTTGCTTTTTTATTGTTATGTAACTTATATACAGAAAGAACACAAATCATGTACGTATAGCAGGATGTATTTTCACACATGGTCCCCTGAGCACACCCACTCTTACCCCCAAGCACACTACCCCTTCCATACCTAGTGCGCGCGCGCACACGCGCACACACACACACACACACACACACAGGTCCCTCTCCTCATAGTTGGGCAGACTGCCCAGGCCCTCAGAGAGCAGTGAGGGGGCCCTGTGCTCAGGTCTCAGAAGTCCTGAGACATCCTGGCCTGACCCTGTTATGAGGGACCAGGCCTGCACCCCTGTCCTCACCCTCCTCCTCTCTCCCTACAGCCCAGACCCCGTGGAGGCAGGAGAGGAAGTCAAGGTGAGGGTGGACCTGCTGCCCCTCCACGTGGGCCGCCACAAGCTGGTGGTGAACTTTGAGAGCGACAAGCTGAAGGCTGTGAAGGGCTTCAGGAACGTCATCATTGGCCCTTCCTAAGGGGCCCCTGTGCCAGCCCCACCTCGGCCAGCCGAGGCCCCTAGATAGATCCTAATCGTTATACCATGCTAACAAGCAGAGTTGTCCCTTCTTGGGCCCCTGACCCAGGGCAGGGTGGGCTGCCTCTGGTTACTCTTTGGAATGGAATGTACTTCTGGCCCATCCTGTCCCCAAGAGCCTGTTTCCTCATCCCCTTACCTGTGAGGAATGTTCTGTACCTCCACTGACCTTGGCTGACTGGGCCTGGGGCAGGGCAGGAGGGACTCCCACCTCCCTTTGCATCCCAGATGCCATTTGGAAAGTCACTACCCACCTGCCAAATTGTTTAACCTACTCCAGAGCTCCTTGGAGCAGGTGAAAAAGAGACAGTGTGCTCACTGGCTGGGTCAAGGAGCTCAGCTCCCTAGCATGTCCTGTGCCTCTTCCCCAGGGGCCCTTGGGAGAGCCGGGGCAGGTGCAGCTGGCGAGGGGCCAGGGACAGCCAGACCCAGGGTCCCCATGTCCCGGCAGCCCTGGCCCAAGAGCCCCCACCCGCCTACCACTGTGAAGCACCTACTAAGTGCCAGGTGCTTCCTGGCGCTCATATGGCCATCAGCACATTTAATTGCCACGGAAGCTGCAGAGTGGGATCTGCCCCCTCACTTCGGCAGGCTCAGAGAAGGCGTGGGCTCGAGAACATTTGCAAGGCTAGGTGATGTGAGGGCTCGGGAACAGAGCCCAGGCCATCTGACTCCGAGTCCAGTGCCTGTTCATGACATCATCCCTGACCTGAAGATGTCAAAAGAGGCCATTTGGGACCTGAACAAAAAGACCCAGTTGGGGCAGGGAAGTGGGAAAGGCAGTGGAGTGGTCACAGCCCTGGGTTCGAGTCCAGCCAGCCACTGTCTTCTCCTCTCTGGGTTCAGCATCCTCACTGGTCATAGGAGTGGTTGAACCAGCTCATCTCTAAGGCCTCTCAATTCTGTAGTTCTGATGCCTTACATGACCTGGCCTGGCAAATGACAGTGAGTCCTACTCCCTGGCTCCTTAGACCACAGGCCCAGGATGTTTCTGAGCCTGACCTATGACCATGGCCACCCCCCAGCCTCAGCCCTGTCCAGGTTCCCCACCTGTGCCAAAGCACCTTCCTTCTGACCCCGGTTCTAGGGGAAAAGAGCCCCAGGGCCCCTGTCCCACCCATGAGCCTGCCTGCCACACTGCCTAGACTTCACACAAGCCTCAGCTAACTGCACTGGCCACTAGCCAACAAGGTCGGCACCTCAGGCACTCCATCTTTGCAGGGTCGGGGCCCTAGAACACAGCCCTCACCCCTGAGTTGTCATCTCTGACTGTATCCCTCCTCTCTGCACACGGCTGGGCCCCCTCTGGCTAGAAGAGGGAAGGTGGTAGAATTCTCTATCTGGGGTTGGGTCACAGCCTCCCAGGGCCCCTGAATCCCAGAGAAGGACTTGGAGTATCACACTGGTGCACTCAGAACTTTCTGCACTTCCCAGGAACGAACCACACAATGAGCCGACATGTATATATTCCCAAAAATATCACTGTTTCTTCATGGTTTTATAAACGCTTTTGGGTTCCAAGCAGGCATTAGATGTGCTTTTGAGCCACGGGGAGTGAGCACTGAAATAAAAGGGTTTATTTTTCACATTCAAACAACGTCTGAGCTGGTCCTTTTTATGCTTTTGAGGAGGGTAGATGGATGAACTCACATCAGGACCAGCCACCTGCTGCCTAAGAGATTTCACCAGTCCCAGTTCCCCAACAAGTCTAAACCTGACTGGCATTCAAGGCTCTACACAGACTACCTCCATCTCTAGCCTTTTCTTTGAACAAATCATGCTTGGGCCACAGTGAACTTCCCAAGTCCCTCCAGATACCCTGTACACTCATCAATGTCTTAGTGTTCGCATGTGTTTTTCCCCTGAGCCTGAAGTACCCTTCCTCTTTCTTATCCATCTTGCAAACTCCTACTGATCCTATAGTGCTTAACACTAAAATCACCTCTTTGTGAAGCCTTCCCAGATTTCTTCTCAGGCTCCCAGAGCCCTGGAACATGGACCAGCTTATGCATTTATCACCATGAATTTTGGTAAATCTGTCCCCCTCCCCATCCTATCAGAAGTCCTCAAAGGCAGGGATCAAGGATCTCTTAGACACTAACAAATGCTGAATTGGTTAAATCAGTGTATTTCAGCTCAGCTTCCATATGACCAACAGAAATATAATGTGAGCCAGAGATATAAGCCATGAATGTCATTGGAATTTTCCAGTAGCAGAGAAACAGGTAAAATATGTTTTGGCAATATACTTTATTTCTGTGTGATCCCAGGAGTATGGGGACTTGGTCATTCATCTCATTCCCCACTGACAAGACACTAATACATGTTTGTTGATTGAATGGGTGATGGAGGACCATCTCTGCCCTCAGAGAATGCATGTTGAAACACCTGACATGCACTTAAAAAGTGAATCAAAATGAAAACATGACGGCACATTTTCTGGGTGCTGAGTCCTTCTGTTCCTTGAAAACGACACCAGTTCTAGCCTAGATGACCTCAACAGTTTATCAATTAGTGACCAGCTGGAAAACAGAAACCACTCAGCTGTTCCAGGCAGAGAGGGAGTTCTAAAGGAAATTGATTCCAAAGGCATCTAAAGGGCAGGAAGAACAGAGGGTGGGAAGGAATGACACCAGAAATCGGGAAGCAGTTGCCTCTCAGGAAGGCCAGGGGCGCTCGAGCCAGTACTTGCCACCTGGCTGCTGGGGGCACTGTCACGGCAGCCCTGGACCCAGCAGAGCTGCTAGAATCTACAAACACTGCCGAAGCCATCCACGGCAGGAGCCAGAGGCACGCTGGCTTCTCTCATCCTCTTGCCTTCTCTCCACTGGCACATCCTGACCAGAAGCCAGTTGGCAAGGGGCTCTAGAAAATATTGTCAGGCTTCTGGCCCCATGAAAACAGAGCTAGCAAGGCAGAAGGGGGGATGGGGCAGGGGGTGGAATGGAACTGAATAGCTGATACCTATGGCCTCTCCCTCTGCTACGAACACCCTTACCGGCATGTCTATCTAAGGAACTTTTACTCAGCCTTCAAAACCCTGCTCCAAGGAGGCCTCCTCTTAGAAGCCTCCCTGGACTATAGTCAATGATCTCAACCTCTGGTTCCCCTTGGCATATCACAGAAAGCCCCTCACAACACTCAGCAGCATGCTTGGCTACAGTTGTTTTGTACCTGCTCCATGTTCTGGAGTACCCCAAGGGCAGGGTATGCTCCCACAAGGGCTCACCAAGTGGACTCAGGACTGCTAACTCCGGCTCCCAGGCTTGATTGTCTCCCCACTAACAGCAGGGCAGGGATGCCCCAGCCAGGTCTACCAAGGCCTCTCCTGACCAGCCTCTGACATCGCACTAGCCAGGAACCTAGGAAAGAGACCTGCTGGTCACACAGGCCCATTTTACATACAGAGAAAATAAGCCCGAGATTCTGCTCCCCAAACCAAATATCAAGGCTGAGTCTGGGTCCTCAAGTGCAGTGCTGGGTGCCGCTTTGTGGCAGCCCAGAGCCCTGGGGTCAGGAGCCTGGGCTCTGGAGTCAAAGAGACTGACTCTGGAGTCAATCTTGGCTCTGCCACGGATTTGCTGAGTGGTTTCAGGAAGGTTCTCAATGTCTCTGTGCCTCCACTTTCTTACCTGTAGAATGGGAAGGCTGTGGGTCTCCTCTCAAGATTAGCATGCAGGTTCAATCAAATGGCACACATAAAATACTTGGCTGGCTCCTGGCCCGTTATGATCCTAATAGCCAACTTCCTCCAGGTCAGGGACCTGTACGTGCATCGGGTATCTATTCCTCAAACAGCTCTATTGTATTGTTTACACCATCTTATAGATTTTACAGTCACAGAACTGGGACTTGAAACCAGGCCGCCTGCCCTCCCCAGCACACAGTCTAGGCCAGAGGAAGCCTGATTTCTATCTGAACCCCCAGTTCCCACTGAGATCCAGGGTATGTGGGGCAGAGGCCTTCACACAAGCCCGGACAGACCTTGCGGAGTGGGGATCTTATCCGGTCTCTCTTCCCACCCCTAAAAGTCTTTCTCCTCTTCAGCTGCTGTGGTTTACCTAGGATGCCTGCCAGCTCACCCCTGGGCCTCAGGCCAAGCCCAGAATAACAGAACATTGATAATAGAGTCCAAGAGGGAGGGGCCTAGGAGGGAGGGCCAGGCCTCCTGCAAACGCGTGCCTCGTGGGGCCAGGCCTGGGTCAGCACATACTCTGTCCCGGCCTCTCTGCTTCCCTCCCTGGCAGGCCTGGACAGACACACAGAGACACACACCCGGGAGACTGTGAAGCCTTGTGTTCTGTTTTAATGAGGCAAAGCCTGCAGAGCCCCATTAAAAGCAAAAGCAGTGAGAAAACAACAGTGCATAGAGGCTTGACAACTGAGACTGTGACACACAGCAACACAATGAATCTCACAGACCTCAAGCTGAGCAAATGAAGCTTGCACAGAATACTACAAACTACATGAGTCCACTCCTACAAGGCTTATTGACAGGCAGAGCCCATCTGTGGTGTTCCAAGTCAGGAGAGTGTTCTCCCTGGCAGGGGAGACTAGATGGGAGCAAGGGGAACCCTGGGCGACGGGGCTGGTTTTGGATTGCTTTCTCTGGGTGCTGGGTACCCTGGTACATCCGGCCTGTGAAAATGAGTCAGCTATATACACAGAATGGTGTTCTTCTGTATGTGTGGTCTACTGCAATAAAATTTCTCAAACTACAGTCTTGGAAGCTTCTAAAATGAAGTCCAAGGGGGATGGAGGAAAGGGACTCAGGTCCAGAGTCCTCTCCATTTCCTCTTTCAGGAGATGGGATACCAGCAAAGTGTATCTCCTAAGGGATACTGGGAGGCTTAACTAAGATGTTCCTCATGTAAATATGAGACCAGGGGCAGGAAGTTTGTGTGCCTTGCTTGCTGCAACCCGTGTGTGGCACATAAGCCATCAATGAAGATGTTGGATGAATGAATCTAAAACTGTGTTTTTATGACCTCAGCTAATCCTCAGAACGTGCCATAGGGATTATCAGCCCATTTCCCAGGTGGGGAAACTGAGGTTCATAGATGTGAAGCCATTCAGTCATCTGGCAAGTTGATGGCAGAGCAGGCGTTAGAATCTAACTGATTCTCCTGTGCATTCCACTGAAGGGCCTGAGAGTGGAAGGGATGGCTTGATCCCCAACCCTGGACACTGGACGTAGCCAGGCTACCCCCACCCAGAGGGTGTGAGAAAGCCACAGCTAGAAAGCTGGGCTTATAAACATAGTTACCAGACAACCCAACAATTTTAATCCTGGCACATGCCCCAGAGAAATGAGAACGTATCTCCATACATACAGTTATACAGGAATGTTCCTAGCACATCATTCCTCCCATCCAAGTACTAATCAGGCAAGGCCCTGCTTAGCTTCTGGGATCAGATGAGATGGGGCATGTTCAGGGTGGTATGTATGGCTGTAGACAAGCAGCATCATTCCTAACAGTCCCAAAATGGAAACAACCCAAAGGTCTATTAACAATGGATAATAAACCCAATGGTCCAGATCAATGGATAAGCAAAATGGAATAAATCCACACAATGGAATATTATTCAACAATAAAAAGGAGTGAAATACTGATACCTGCTTCAACAGGGAAGAACCTTGAAAACCTTATGCTCATTGCAAGAAGCCATACACAAAAAACCATATATTGTATGATTTCATTTCTATGAAGTGTGAAGAAGAGGTAAATATCTGGAGACAAGGCAGACTGGTGGTTGTCTGAGGCTAGGGGATGGAGGGATTGCGGTTGGGGAATGGGATTCGACCAGGGAAAGCATACCGGGTTTCTTTTTGTACTATTTACATGTTCTAAAATAGATTATGGTGATGGATGCCAACTCTGTACTAAAAGCTATTGAATAGTAGTATACTTTAAAAGGGTAATTTGGAAGATATATGAATTATATCTTATTAAAGCTGTTTAAAAATAATTATTAATGAGCAGGAAAAAAAAGAAGAAGGCAAGCCACAGAATGGAGATTTGATTCTGAATCAGGAAGTCTTTCAGGATATGTTGGGTATCCTTGAGCTAATATCTTCCCTTCTCTGGGCCTTAGTTGCCCCTACTGTCAAATGGGAGGGGAGAGAGTCGGAGCAGAGGAACTCTGAAGCATCATCAACTTGGGTGACTTCTTACAGCAGTTGTCCATGATGGTGCCTGCTTCTTGCGTACCCTGTGAAGGTGGGGGTCTCCCAGGAGCTAGTAAACCTCTAATCATTGATTGAGGTCTTTGCAGTTAGATCTGGGCTTTCCAGCCACAGACCACAATTCATCAGCATCCTTTAGGATGGCAGAAGAGATGCTTCCCCAAACATTGCTCTCAGCTACTACTCTGTCTAAGGAAGGAAACCAGAGGTATGGGCGGAAATCCCAGTTCCTCCCCAATTCCTTAATCAGCTGCCAACTCTACATTAGCTCCTCGCAAGCTCATCCTGAAAGAGACAGACAAAAAGAGACTGGGGGGAGCCAAGATGGCGGTGTGAGTAGAGCAGCGGAAATCTCCTCCCAAAACCACATATATTTTAAAAAATACAACAAAGACAACTCTTCCTAAAAG